ATAGCTCAGTGGAGGCTGACTTTGATTTGGTTTTTAATTTTAAAATATTTCATTTCTAAATATTCTTGATTTTTTTTTTTTTTTTGGTCTTTCCTCCCCCATCCCACACCTCCTTCCCCTCTCTCCCTGTTCTCACCCTCATGGGAAATTTCCCACAATAGCACATTCTTTTTTATCATTTTATTGGAAGCTCTTATAGATATAACATTCCATAGTTCAATCACATCCAGCAGTACTGTACAAATGCTACCACAGTCCATTTCAAAACATATTCTTTCTTCTTGAACTCCTCCATATAAGCTCCTCTTTATCTCCCCTAACCCTTTTTGTGTGTGCACATCTTACACCATCCAACATATCCATTTACTGTCCATCTACATACAGTTCTGTTGCTTGCTCCCCTTGAGTGGTGTTATACAGACATCAGTGCTATCAGTTGCGCCCCGCTCCCCATGGCCCCCTCACTTCCCATTCCTCAGGGAACCATTACTCTTGTTACTGTTTCTGAAGGGTTATCTATCTTGGCTTTCATACATCGAACTATCTTTATACAAATGAACATATGCAAGTCTAACATGATTAAATGAGGTAAAACAAAACCCATAATAGTAAGGGGAGGAAATATTAAAGAACTAGAGAATAGTTATGTGCTTCATCAGTGCTGTACTGAACACTGCTTTTATCATCGCTACCATGTAGCCTTTCTGAGAGTGACTGTACAATTAACTTGCAGGTGGGTTTTAGGTCTCCACTACATCCTCCCCTCCTTCACATCAATTTGGTTGCTTGGTTTTGAGCTTTTGATATTTTTTCCCTTATATACCTCATGATCACACAGGCTGGTGTGCTTCTTCCATGTGGGCTTTGTTCCTTCCCTGCTAGATGGTCACTTGTTGATCTTCAAGCCTTTAAGACCCCAGACGCTATATCTTTTAATAGCCAGACACCATCAGCTTTCTTCACATTTGCTTATGCACCCATTTTGTCTTCAGTGATCTAATTCCTTCTCTTTCAAAATCCCAACTTTGTAAGAAATACATTTTCGAGAGAGAATGGATCACAGCCTGGCCCACTAAGCCCCAAGCACGATATTCCTGCTCAGAGCACCCAACACACAGAGAGGACTGTAGGGCCAGCCCCACCACTAGACATGGCGTCCACTCACTGAACTAAATTGCTACAGGTGACAATGCTGGAGACACAGTGCAGAAATTTTGCCCAGTCTGACCCACCTAACACCAGGTTGAAACACAAAGGGAGTGTAATAGAGCAGCAAGGGAAGTAAAGCAATGAAGTTCCCAAGGAATCTGAAAAATAGACTTTTGTGGGCAGGGTTTGGCACCCCATCAGACTCGATTGGAAAACATTCATAAAGGTCAACAGACAGACCTGGAATTATTTTATTGGCTTTTGTCTTTGTTTTTTCATCTCTATCTCTATAAGAAAGGCAGGATAAACAATCCCTAGGAGAAAACTATGGGACCAACAGTTCCGGGGGTGGGGGGAAGGGATAGGGACATGGCAGAAGGGAATGTAGGGGAAAGGAAGTGGGGAGCCAACAAACCCAGGGTCAAGAGAACAACAACTGATCTAAAATCTATGGCAAGGATGGCACAGAATGCCTGGTGGGGTTGATGAAGTGCAATGTAGCCGGGAGGAATTATTGAAAACCAAATGAAGGTCGAATATGATAGTGAAACAGGAGGAAAGTAAAAGAAAACAGAGGAAAGAACTAGGAGGCAAAGGACATTTATAGAGGTATAAATACAGGCACGTACATATGTAAATATACTTATATAAATGATAGGGACAAAGCTCTATTTACATATATTATATGTTAAGTGTTAAGGTTAAGTATTAAGATGGACATTGGACCTCTATTCACGTACTCCCTCATTGCAAGAACACGTTGTTCTAATAACCCGGCTTCTGTGATGCTCACCTTCCCAACAAAATTGCTAAAGACAAAATGAGTGTATAAGCAAATGTGGTGAAGAAAGCTGATGGTGCCCGGCTCTCAAAATATATAGCATCTGGGGTCTTAGGCGTGAAGTTAAACAAGTGGCCATCTAGCTGAGAAGCAACAAAGCCCACATGGAAGACCCACACCAGCCTATGTGATCATGAGGTGTTGATGGGATCAAGTATCAGGCATCAAATGACCCAAAACAAACATATTGATGCAAACGTGAGGGGGTGGAGTGGAGACCCAAAGCCCATCTGTAGACAACTGGGTATCCATCCCCTCACATAAGGGCCACAGGAAGAGAAGAGCCAGCCACGGTGCAGTATAGCATCAACGAAACATACAACATTCCTCTAGTTCTTTAATGCTTCTTTAATGTCGATATGGACAGATGTGCTTGACACAATGGATGTATGGATTGTTAGAAGAGCTGTAAGAGACCCCAATAAAAATGATTTTTTTTAAAAAGAAAGAAACGGGTTTTCCAGCTGCTCCTCTACTTTCTATTTTCTACAACTGGTCATGATTTAAATAAGAGCTCTCCTTAACAAAATCAGCAGTCACAGACACACTCCTCCTACGGAAATAAAGAATTTTTTCCACCTTAGGTGTTAAAACGGCCACTATAATGTTAATAGCTACCTGATACTTTGAAATTACTATACTCACTCACTGCCATCAAGTAGTCAATGCTGACCTATTAGCATCCCCTTGCGGGTGTCCTAGACTATAAGTGTTTATGGGAGCAGAAATCCCAGTCTTTCTCCTGAGGAGCTGCTGGTGGTTTTAACTACAGACCACGCAGATGGCAGCCCACATGTCACCACTACACCACCAGGGCTCCCTTGCTACCTTTGACCCACACAAAATGTTCTCCAGGTTGTTCCACGAAGAGATCCTACTTAGTTTCCTTCAAAGAACAGTTCTATAATCTTCACAATAACAATCACTTCCCTCTATGCCTTACTAAGGAAATCTTCACTTCCTTATTAATTTGCAAATATCTCACAGTTTCTGGGTAAGAAAAAAAACATACAGCATATCTCCTCCGCCACTCCTATGGCTTAAGCCACAAATAAATATTGTTCCTTTGACACTAGACCACAAGGAAGTTTGTTTTGCAGCTTCTACTACTGAACATGGTTCTATAGTTCTGGATTTTAGTTTAAATGAAAGATCGTAAATGTCGGCTGGTACCACACCTGTCCCAACAAAAAGGTCATAAAGGAGTTGGTAAGCATGACTCACAGACGCAAATGACAGGTGGGCTTGGTTATTATGTAAGCAGTCAAAGCTTTAACTTCCCATAGGAGTTGATTCTGAGCTTGAATCTTCTGAAAACTGCAAAGAGGAAACATAGGCAGCTGGGAAACGAAAGCATAAGAAGAGACCTGAGCAGCTTTAGGCTTGAAGTAGCAGCCTTTTTGAAACATGGGGTAAAAGGAAGGATTATGAACCCCAAAATTAGTCAGGTGTCATGTTATCATTAGAGCTCTCCATCCGGAAGGATCCATCTGGAAATCACACTCACATCTCAGTGCAAGAGCCCTGTTCCAAGCAAGATGTGCGATTAGCCACTACCATTTCAGATCTGGATGGGTCTTCCTCAAAGATAATCCAACTATTTTCAAATGTTTGTTTCTGTTTATCTTTAGACCCTTTCAAATGAATCCTCAGGTCAAGATCAAATATACAGAACATGCACCAACAGAATTGCTCTTTGTAAGCACATAGAAGAGGTTGGAGACCTACCAGCTTAGAATTCCTTCCCATTTTCCCAATGAAAACAGCATTTCCAGCAAGGGAATCTCTAGGGAGGCCTGGAACAGGGTAAAACCAGTGAATCTACGAGGCGAGAGGAACACAGAGAGGCACCAAAATAAATCCATGCCATCAAGTCAATTCTGACTCATAGTGACCCTCTAGGATAAAATACAAGAGCCACATAGGATTTCTAAGGCTGTAATCTTTATGGAAGCCGACAGCCACCTCCTCCACCTGCCGAGTGGCTGAGTTTAAACTGCTCAGTTAGCAGCTGAGCACGTAACCACTGCACCAACAGAGCTCCTAAAGGACACAGAAGGTCGATAATGCAGTTACCAGCCCCGACTGCAGAATGTCGTATGGCAAGAGGGAAAAGGGAAGCCAAAAGTAGAAGATGAAATAAAAACCGCGATGATGTGGTGAAATTATAAAATGATAACTATAACATTACACATATATGAAAAAAATAAATATAATCAAAAGTATTAGGTGGTAATGTGAGGAAATAATAACATTGACTTGACAAGGTTATGGGTGATTTCTATATTGTGTTTCTGTTATTCTGATATTGTTTCTGCAATAATGTTAAAAAGAAAATATATACATATTAATATAATCTTCAGTCTACAGTTGAGGAACAGGGGTCCAGTTTTGACAAGGAGTATGCAGGATCCTTCTGCAATATACAGTCAAAGCTTAATACTCCTATCATGTGCAGAGAAAAACTGTTAGGCATGGCTAAACTGTATGGGGCAGTAGGAACCGAGATAAATATAGCACCAGTGCTGGAAACACAGACTAAAGCCAGGTTAGGGTATTGTCCCGATTGTGCAATGGTTAAGCATACCAAATGCTCACACACACACACACACACACACCCAAAAATGGGCAGTTCAAAGCTACCTAGAGGTCCCTGGGAGCAGAGACCTGGCACTCTGCTTCAGTCTGGAGCCGTTCTAATGTCCCATGAGGTCGCTGTACATCAGAAGTTAACAGGATATACTCAACAACAACAAACTGGCTAGCAGTCCAACACCTAACCCACTATATCACCAGGCTTCCTGGAGGCAAATGAAGACTTGGATAAGAAAAGCATGGAATTGGACACTAGAAAAGAAAAACAGAATGCAGGGGCTGACAATGGGCAAGAATGCACAATCTAGGCAACACAATTCATCTCCTCCTGAAACAAGGGGGTCAAAATACTCATTTCCGAATCCACCTCATATCTCGCAACAAACCTTAAGGCAAACGTGTGCACAGTCAGTACCTTCACGTTCCCAGGCCTGGAGCTGATCCTGATCCCTGGTCGTGCTGCCCAGCACCTCCCGAGGAACAGGCTCCATGCGTGCATCCACCTTCTCTTGACGGGAGGATTGGTGGAACCCTTCAGCAGCCTTTTGGAAAAAGAAGTTCAGCTCCTCAAAGTTCATGGCCTGAAGGTTTTCAAAAAGTTCTACCTGTTGGGCTCCTTCCAATTCATTCCAAAACTGTAGCAGATGCTCTTGCCCAGCTCTGGACAACCTGCGTTTCAGGTCATTAACATTCATAATGCTCTGCTCGCCAAGCTTTGTGAAAGTAGGGGTCTAATTTCCACACTTGTAAACCTAAAACAGAAAAAGAATTAAACATGTCAAAGTTCAAACTTGAGGCTTTTCCTCCAAAAAGTAAGTACATTTAAGAACTTGGTGTTAAGGAAATGAACTTGGACCTTTGAGCCAGTCAGTGTTTATAAGAGATCAAATTTTTAAGATCCTAGTTCATATTATACACCAGTCACTGCACTAAGTACTTTATCTACACGGTCTCATGTAATTTTCAGCAGCTCTATGATATACTGTAGGTGCTATTACTATCACTGTCTACAACTGAGGAGACTGAGACAGAGAAATTAAGCAACCTACCCCATTGGTGGAGCTGGGCTGTAAACACAAGTGGTTGGATTCCAGGGCTCACACTCTTTTAACGACCACATTCAGTTGCCTTTGTACCACACCTCTGCCCACTGAGCCACCCTGGAAGAACACCTGACTGCTTACTACTTCAGCTATTCTCCTTTTAGTTCTTTTTTTCTCTCCTTTTATTTCTAATGTTAGAAAGAACTCTTTTATATTCAGCAGGCAGCAACACAGGGACACATGTAATCATGAAAATGCATTTGTTTCAGTAGCAGTTTCCATAGAGAAGCAAGAAAAACATGCCCAGTGTCTATTCACAAAGATCTTAAACTGAGAATTTAAAATGGAATGTATTTCAGACATACAATCTGTGAAGAAAGCAGTGGTTTTTAAGAGCGTTTCATGATAGCATCATGTTAAACTGGACAGTGCTAAAGAGGAGAAAGAAAAAATGAGGAAGTATGAATCTCCTTGCATAATATAGTAAAAGGCAAGTGTTGCTTACAAGGTGTTAAGGAAGCCATGATCTAACTGGGATTCCTCCAAGAAAAGGAGGTAATATAGATAAAACTGGGGTGGCAAGGAATAGAATGTGCCCGGGGTGCAGAGGAGTCAGAAAGTTGATCAGCTTCGTACAATGGGGAGAAAGAAAGTCACAGAGCAGACCAAAAGGAGCCTTGAAAACTAGGTAGAGGGATTTAGATCTAAGAGTATATAAAGTAATAAGGAGCCAACAGGTAGATTACTAAACAGGAATAGGAGAGAAAGTAGCCAAGGGCTAGGATAGATGTTAAGATGGGATCCATTTCTACCTAATGATAGAGAAATAAATCAATGTACATATATTTATTTATAAAGTATTACGGCAGCAGATTGACATTGGGCCTCCACTCAGTACTCCCTCAATACAAGAACACTTTGTTCTACTAAAACAGCACTCTGTGATGTTCACCTTCCCCGACATGGATCACTGAAGACAAAATGGGTGCATAAGCAAATGTGGTGAAGAAAGCTAATGGAGCCCAGCTATCAAAAGATATAGTGCCTGGGGTCTTAAAGGCTTGAAGATAAACAAGTGGCCATCTAGCTCAAAAGCAACAAAGCCCACATGGAAAAAGCACACCAGCCTCTATGATCATGAGGTGTCAGTGGAATCAGGTATCAGGCAAAGACCCAAAACGAAACAAAATAAAACAAAAAAAATCTACCAATGTGAATGACGGGGAGGGCAGAGTGGAGACCCAAAGCCCATCAGTAGTCAACTGGCCAAGGAAGAGATGAGCCAGTCAGGGTTCAGTATAGCACCAGCGAAATACACAACCTTTCTCTAGTTCTTTAATGCTTCCCCCCACCCCAATTCTATCTTACAAATCTGGCTAGACCAGAACATGTATACTGGTACAGATAAGAGCTCACAACACAGGGAATCCAAAACAGATAAACCCCTCAGGACCAATAAGGGGAGCAGCAGTACTAGGAGGGTAAGGGAAGGGGGTGGGGCAGGGAGTAAGGCGGAACCGATCACAATAATTGATGTATGGTCCCCCTCCCAGAGGGATGGGCAGCAGCAAAGTGGGTGAAGGGAGACAATGGTCGGTGTAAGACATGAAAAAAAAGAAGACTTTATAAATTATCAAGGGGACATGGAGGCGGGAGGGTGGTAGAGGGAGGGGGAAAATGAGGAGCTGATATCAAAGGCTTAAGTAGAAAGAAAATGTTTTGGAAAGATGATTACAATATATGCACAGATGTGTTTGACATAATGGATATATGTATGGATTGTGATAAGAGCTGTAAGAGCCCCAAATAAAATAATTTTTAAAAAAAACACACACACAAAAAAGAAGGGATACGTAGAAGAAAAAAACAAATGGTGCAGCAACAAAGCCCACATGGAAGAAGCACAACAGCATGCGTGACCACAAGCTGTTGAAGGGATCCGTTATCAAGCATCAAAGAACAAAAAATATCATTGTAAAGGTGGGTGAGTGCAGAGTGGAGACTCAAAGCCTATCGGTAGGCAACTGGACACCCCCTCGCTGAAGGGTTGAGGGGAGGAGACAAGCCAATCAAGGTGCAGGGTAGCAACGATGAAACATAACTTTCCTCTAATTTTTAAATGCTTCCT